AACACCTCCCTTCTTTAATTAAGTCGGGACTACGCTTCCGACTTTTCTAACTAGACTAGGTGGACTTCAAATACTACTAGCCAAACACAACAAAACATTGAAAATACAAAGGGCCAAAAATACAAAGTGAGCAACAATAAGGGGGATACAATAATTACAACAAAAAATTTTTACAACAACAATATTATCACAAATCTATTTACTTCCTACTTACATCTCCCATCTACTTCTATCGTCGCTCGTCACAGTGCTCCCTTGTTGGCTCATCTTTTGGCCTCGTCGCGTTCTGTGTTGCCGTTGTTGCTGGTGCTTCCTTCAAATTGGAACTAGACTCCAATTGACTGCGAGGTTGACCATGTGTCGAACCTTGATTACGGCTTTCATCTGACTTCATTGACTTTGGCCTAATTTGCCATTCTTCGCGACTGACTATTGCCTTCAGCCTTGGGACCTTGACTTTATATCCATCTTCGAATTTTCTCAGAATAGTCCCAGGCAACCAAACTTTCTTGCCATTCTTGCTCCTGTTCATGACTAAGACTTCTTCATCTTCTTTGAATCGACTAGAATTTCCCGATGACTTCTTCTTTAAGAATCCTGACTTCGTCGAGCCTTGAGTAACACGACTACTCTTCGGACTATTCGACTTTTTACTCTTGCGATTCTTTTCCCGACTAATCTTTCTACTATTCTCCTTCAAGTTCGGGACTTCTATCGTCAGAATATGTGGGACTGAAGAATCAACTTCTACTTGATTTACTTCTGGACTATCGACTCTCTTAAACCGTTTCTTTGGTTTCCTACAATCTCGACTAATGTGTCCGACTATTCCACAATTATAACACTGACGTGATTCTTCAACTTGGCGTTCTTTTTGCCTTGACTTAATTCTTGATCGCTTCGACTTTCTGCTCTGACTATGTTCGATCCGACTAACAGCATTTACTTCAACAAACTCTTTAGGTCCACTCTTGACCTTTGCCTGACTATCGAACATTTTCGCCTCCGACTTATTCGCCAGATAACTCCTCACTTCCTCCATCAATGCCTTCAACGTGCAGACTTCCGACTTCGCATACGACTCTACAAATCTCAGACTGATCTGTCTTACATCCAGCGCCTTTTCTGGAATGCCAGCTATAAAGACTAGAATTTTGCATTCCTCAACTGTCAAGTCCATATTCGCTTTCTCGCATTCTGCATTGACTAGAGTTCCGAATTCTACAATTTTCTCTACTGATGGGCATCTCATCTTGATGACTTCGAATCTTTTGACTAATTTCGATCTTGGGTCACTGAATTCCTTTTTCAGTACCGCGACTAGACTTTCGAAGTTCATTTCCTCTAACTTTTCTGGCAACATCTTCTGCGACATCTTCGCATATTCGACTCGGCCCAACTTCTCGACTAATAATCGGACTCTGACTTTTTCTTCTAAGGACTGCGCGTCTACTTCAAAGTAGGACTTGTTCTTAGCGTACCATGACTCAAATGTGATTCCCTTTTCAACATCTGACTGGAACTCTGGAATCAACGACTTCAACTTACAATACAGTTCCGTTGACTTTTCTTCTTCAGACTTGGTCACAACTGACTTTCTCCCTTTCATCATTTCATCCCATTGACTTTGCAATTGCAGTTGTGTCTGCAGCAATTTATCAAGCATATCATTCATTTCGACTGAATTATTTGACTAATCAAACTGACTTTTGACTATGGGTCTGCCTGTTCGATTTTTTGACTACTCGATTAAGAGTTTAACTGTGCGACCGCGCCACTGTTATGTATCGACTTGCGGTGTGTCCGATACTAACAGAAAGACTAACCAAAGACTAACTATCAAGGGTTTATCACAAAGGTAAACAATACAATGGAAATGACGAGACTATGCGCTGGAGTAGTATATAGCTTGACTACGGACTAAGACTGACTATAGACTAACTCTCGGACTGACTCAAGACTACTAAAAGGCTTCGCCTTTTATACTAAGCCGCCACCCTAACACCGTCCAGGCTTAGCCTGAGGAAACTTAAGCGAACCGTCAAATGCTGTGATGATCTGACATGCTTTAACTGTTTAGAGAAATAAGGAGAAGACCCTGTGAGTATAGCCTGAGCTGTGTGCGGGCAGAAATTAGAAGCGTAAGACTCTGTGTGAGCAGCTAGAGAAAGCGTAAGACTCTGTGTGAGCTGCTAGAGAGAAGCGTAAGACTCTGAGTGAGCAGCTAGGAAAAAAAAATGCCACAAATGGGTTTCTGTGTGTGCTCTCCCAAAAATCGAAAACAGTTGATAGTTATTGAGGACAAACAACAAGCGAGGACGCTTGGTTTCGCAAGGCGGAAGGAGTGTTGTGTCCGCACTTGCAGAAAGAACATAAATGAAAATAAATAACCCAACATCGGGTTGGATGGTGGCACAGTCGGTTGTGCTTCGGTCTGGGCTCATTCCATGATGGTTCAATTCCATCTCCCATCCACAATTTTTCCACAGCATGAAAACATGAATACAATAGTTCATGAAAGAAAATTACCGTATTTTCTCGATTAATTCCCCTCTCTCGAATAATTCCCCCTCCCGATTAATTCCTAGAGTTGAGTTGAAACAATAATTCCCCACTCCCAAATACCCTAATGCACGTTCAAATGCCAAAACTCGAATAATTCCCCTCCCTCGATTAATTCCACATGCCATGGAAGGGTTGAAAAAAATAATCCCATTTTCCTTGCTCCTCGACTCCCTTTATAAGTATTAATTCTGGATAATTAAATTACCAAAGATTCGGGTTTTTTTTCGGTTCGGTGGGTAACTAATAATTTAAAATTTTGACTAATAATTTATTGTTTTATCTAATTTTCATTTTAGGACTTTCCGAGCTTGTTGGTGCTGCAGTCGTCGGTGGTTTCCATGATCACACTCATGAATGTGTTGAGATTGATTTTAAATGTAATTACTGTGAAAAGACATTCAAACGAACTTATGAGATTATCGATGCTGACACAGGAAATAGTGCTCTCTGGGGATACTATCGAAATTATATACAGGTGAATATGTGCCTAGATTGAAGCCATACATGTAATAAGGCCTTATATTTATGAACTAGTTAAAATTTTAATTCAATCAAAAATATTTTCAGTGTGAACGCTCATGTTCCACTCGTCGTTCATTTGACTTTGTTGAAAGCAAATATCGCGAGATGTGGTCCAACTATTCGATTGCCGGCGGACTTCATTGTAAGAAGTGGAGCAAGGACTTTTATGGGAAGATCTATTAAGGGATAATTAATGAAATAAATTGGTTTGGCACAATAATATTGCCTTATTTTTTTTTGATTTTATTAAAATTTTGATATTCAAATTGCTCAAAAACTGTCATTAATTTTTCATATATTTTTAAGTAAAATGAACTGATTTGGTATGTACCCCGTTCCCGAAAGATTTTTTCAGATTTTCCCCGACCCGTAACAATTCGAAAACCCCGTCCCCCGTTCGGGGTCCAACCCTAATGTTAATATCTATAAGAAAAATATTTCATTGTGAACGTCGTGCTTCAATCTTAATTTATTTGACTATATTGAAGACGCATATAAGAGGATTGGTCCAACTACTCGTCTGTTCTAAAATGCAGAGCTTGGTATCTATCACCATTGAGAAAAAAACTGACCCAAATTATTTTAAAAAATTGACCAAATGAAAAAATTAAATAATGATTCAGTTTCAACATTTTCGAATTAGGGACGTAATATTAGTTTTGGTCGCATAAATTACTCTGTTGAGACGCTTAACCGTTCATGATACGCATAAAAGATCATGGGACGTATGTTCTAAAATAGAGCCTACTTTTATTCTTTTTTTTCGTTTAATTGCACAATTTTCCAATTCCACTTCTTCCTTATTTTCATTCCCTAAAGGGAGAACTAATTTCAATAGTTAGCTTTTACAAGATAATCAAGCAATAAAAACAAAGAAGTGGCTTAATAAAAGCCCAGTAATTTTCTCATTTGAATTCAATAATAAAATACTCAATTTAATAGCTAAATATGCCTTCTTCCTTCTTTATTAATTTTCAAATTTACATAGAAAAAATCAAAAAAAAAATTTCCGTTCCCAATAAAAAATACTAATTTAACCCTTATTTTATTTTGGCTTAACATTTAAAGTATTAAAAAATGTTTAATCATTTTTGGGTGTTTACTGCCATTTTACTTGATTCTTTAATTTTTAAAATTAAAAAAGCAGAATAATTCCTATTGCGAGTATTTTCATTTTTTTTCTGTTTCTATGCTATACTTAAAAATAACATTTCAAAAATAAAATAATAAATTCTTTAAGAATGTTGAGATAATACAGCAATAAATTATTTAAAAATAAGCAGTTATAAATTAAATTAGTAAATACATAAATATAAAAGCAATAAAGATGCTTTTTATTTGTTAGTGTTAGCATAAACCTAGCATTAAATTTTTGCTTTATTGAAGTACATGCGATCCGGAAAATTTTAGGTATAAAACTATAATTAGATATATAAATATAATTAGATATAAAAATATAATTAATTTATATTTTTAATAATTTCCGGAACAAGTTATTCTTTATAATTAGTCTTATTTACGGTTAATATTTTTCGGTTGATAGTTCTTATTAATCGTTTCCGGTTTATATTTTCCGGTTTTTAATACTATATTGTTTCCGGATAGTATTCTTTCCGGTTTATATTTTCCGGTATATTTTCCGGTTTTTAATACTATATTGTTTCCGGATAGTATTCTTTCCGGTTCATATTTTCCGGTTTTTAATACTATATTGTTTCCGGATAGTATTCTTTCCGGTTTAACATTGTTTCCTGTTAATAGTTTTTTTATTAATTGTTTCCGGTTTATACAAACTTTCCGGTTGTAATTAATTCGTATTACTCTTAACGTATTTCTGTCTAAATCTTTCCGGTTAATATTTTGGTTAATATTTTTCGGATTCCAATAGAATTTATATGTATTAATAAAATATTATGCAAAGACCTTCAACCTTAATTCCATCATCTACAAGCTGTAATATACCTCCTACCGTTCAGTTTTTAACTGCGGTAAATTAAAAAATTAAAAAAATAAATTTAAAAATTAATTTTTCCAGCCAATAGATAATTCTGCAATTAATGTCACCTCGCCTTCTTGTCTCTCTGGAGTCGAAAATCGAATAATTTTAAATGTTGGGGGTATTAGATATGAAACTTATAGTCATGTTTAGATGATAATTTAATTTGTTAATTTTTAAAATTATTTCAAAAAGGTTTTGAAAAAGATCCCCGCAACTCGTTTATCTAGATTGACTCCAAATTTGTCAAATTATGACCCTATAAAGAACGAATATTTTTTTGATAGGCATCCAGGGGCTTTTTCTTTGATTCTAAATTATTATAGAACTGGTAGGTTTGGTTGAAAAAATTTTTTTGAAAATTTTCCAACCCGAAAAGGAAAGCTGCACTATCCAGCAGACGTTTGTGGTCCTCTTTTTGAGGAAGAACTCGAATTTTGGGGGCTGGATTCAAACCAAGTAGAGCCTTGTTGTTGGATGACTTATACAAAATACAGGCAGAAATTCAATTATTTAAGAAAATTGTATAAAAAAATTTTTAAAGAGAAACCCAAGAAACTTTAGCCTTAATAGAAAGTATGGAAATGGATACAGATATTCGCCCAACACAAGAAGATGTAGCCAAAAAATTTGGTTGGGAGGATGAGTATAATAATGGAAAATTAAATCTGTGGCAAAAGGTTAAACCAAAATTGTGGTCGCTTTTTGAAGAGCCGTGGACATCGCGTGGGGCGAGGGTAGGGAATTTATTGGGGTATAAAATTAAAGGAAAATCAGAATTATTATAATTTTAATGAGAAAGAATCAGAATTTATTTAAAAATTATTAAAATCAGAATTATTTCTGATAAATAAGAATATTGCTATTTTGTAGCAAATTTTATTGGCTTTCAAATAGGCCCAAAATGAAAATCTAGAAGAATCCATTTTGGGTCGGAAATATTTTTAAAGAGACTTACTCCTTTACGTCGATTTTCAAGGTGTGAGGATCTCGGCATTAAGTAAAGGAAAATTATAGAATTAATTAAAAATTTGATATCGAACAGGAATCGATGAAACTTAGGGAATACTCATAAATTAGTTAAATACTTTAATCGAACAGCGGAAATTTTTTTTAAAATATTTTTCTCATTACAGATAATCTCAATAATTTCAATTTCCTGCATTGTTTTATCAATTTTATGTTTTTGTTTAAAAACAAATTCTGGAATACGTCAAGTTGGAAATCTTCCAACTTCAGAATATGTTTATTTTAATAATAATAGTGTTTTGATTAAAAGTATGAGGCGGCAGAATATTAATTTGCCGAGAAGGTGAGAGCTCACGGCTTACTCCTTTAAAGTTTGAAGGAAGCGGAAACAAGAATAATATTTAAATTCCATACATATTCCGGTTATTATCCCCTTGTGGCCTCAACTCTAATAGGAGTAAATTGGATAGATGGGATCGAGGGAACTTATGAGTTCAGGTCTCCTGACCGACATCACGTGGGGTTGCACCCCGACCCCGCCCCGAAACAATTCGAAAACCCCGTACCCCGACATACTCGCCCCCGAGCGTTTTTCGGTGTGCAAAAATTTCGGCGTGCAACCCTAGTATTTAGTTAGTAAAGGAAATTTTGGGATTTTATTATTAATTTTATTATTAAAAAATTTTTTTAAATTTTAAAGTCCACCAACAACACCAACAACTTCCTTCTTCATTCAGTTCTTCTATTTAGAATTAGCCTGTAATTTATGGTTTACCTTTGAATTTATTGCCAGGCTCCTTTTCGCCCCTAGCCGTTCCAAATTTATCAAAAACCCTTTAAATCTGATAGATTTATTCGCAACAACTTCGTTTTATATTGACTGGATTTTAACAAACAATTTTTTAAATAATAATGATTCTTTGGAATGTTTGAATATTATGAGGGTTTTGAGGCTTTTTAAATTGGCACAGCACTCTTCTGGATTGAAAATACTTATACAGACATTCAAAGCGTCGGCGAGGGTTTGGAAAAATAATTTTCAGGGGAAGATGATAGGACTTGGAGGTGAAGGTGATAGAGGACCTTGGGAGGGGGAAGGTGAACGGACTTGGAGGCAGGGCTGTGCGTCATGGCGTTTGGCGTTTGGCGTTTTGCGTTTTGGCGTTAATTTTGGCCGATTTTTGGCGTTTTGCGTTTGGCGTGATTTTCCGATTTTGGCGCGCCAAACGCCAAAAATATACACCCCTAATGATGGAATTTTTTTAAAATAAATGGAGAAAGGGATGATCGAAAAAGGAAATTTTTCTGCGTACAGTCATCCAAAATTCTCAAAATTTTTGCCTGCGGCGCATAAAAAATGAAGAAATCTACTGCTTGGACTTCCAAAATTTTCAAAATTTTCGCCTGCGGCGCTTAAAGGAGGAAGCCCTTATCTTAAACTAATAGATGGTAGAAGTAAAACTTTAGTCCCGTCAATCGTTTACTCTCTTCATGAGCTCTGTTATACTCCTTACTCCCTTTATCCCTTCATATCCACCTTAATCTCAAGAAGTTCTATGAATTTCTTATTTTTTTAAATTTTTTAAAGGATGAATTTCGGCTTCTTTGCCTCCAAAATTCTCAAAAATTTCGCTCCGGTCGGTAAAAAAGGATATATTCTGGCTTCTGGGAATCTTGAAAATTCAAAAAATTTCGCCTGCGGCGCTAAAATGAGATGAACAGTGGTTTTTAAGTCTTTATAGACACTAAAAATTTTGGCGTTTGGCGTTTGGCGTTTGGCGTTTTGGCGTTGATTTTGGCCGATTTTTGGCGTTTGGCGTTTGGCGTGTTTTTAAAATTTAAAAAATTGGCGTTTGGCGTTTGGCGCGCCACGCGAAAATTTTGGCGCACAGCCCTGCTTGGAGGTGAAGGTGAGAGGGACTTTGGGAGTGGAAGGTAATAGGACTTTCAAGAAGAATAATGTGTATCTCCTATCACATAAGTGATATACTGGCTAACAGGGGATGCTTTCATCTTGGGAGGGGGATGTGATTAGACTTTCCAAGAAGAATCTCAAGGTTAATTAGACATTTCGTACAATTTCACTGCCAGTTATTGCTAGTAACTTCCGCTCAACCGTAGGTGAGTGAGTTACACTGGGCCTTTCAGTCCCTTTTTCATTTGTAGGGTGGGAGGGGAAATTAATTTTCAATTTCTCATTATAGGAATTAATTCTGCTCTTCTTTTTTGTCGTTCTTGGAATGATTTTATTTGCCTCACTTATGTAAATAAATAAAAATTAACTTTAAAATGTATAAAAATCCAAATTCCCTCAGTTATTACGCAGAACGATTAGAATACAATCCAGAAAATCAATTCGAGTCTATTACTGTAGGTATGTGGTGGGCTTTGATTACTATAAGTACCATCGGTTATGGTGATTCTGTTCCCAAAACTAGGTAAATTAACAGTAAAATATTCAAATAAATAATTTTAAAGGTTGGGTATGGTTGTTGGCTCCTTATGTGCATTAATGGGTGTATTAACTATTGCATTACCTGGCAAGTTTAATGAGAACTTTAACATGAATAGATAATATAATGCAGAGCATATAGCTATTTGATTCATAAGTAGAGTTGCCGTTCTCGAATTGGGCCGACGTTCAAGTCTTTTTCGGGCCAAAATTTAAGTGTCCGGTTCGATCCTTCGAACAGAACCTGGCTGGCAACCTTATTCCCAAGGCTATGCATGATGTCAACCACCCTAGGCCGATCAACCACCTTAGTCCGGGAAATTGAAGATGCTGAGTCGCTCCAAGCCATTTAACCTTTGTATTAGCTGAAGAAGTAGTATAGCTAGCCCAGTTCAGCTTTATTATAACAGAGAAGACATAGACGTTCTCGAATTGGGCCGACGTTCAAGGCCCAATTCGCAAACACAAAAGACCTCCTTAGAAGAAAACAAATACGCCCTTTCCATATTCATCTCCAAGTTTTTTCAAAAAAAATTTTCAGTTCCAGTAATCGTTGCCAACTTTCAAAATATTTATTCACACAGTAAAGCTCGTTCTAAATTACCCAAAAGGCGTCTAAAAGTACTCCAAATGTCGGAAATAAAGGCTAAAGAAAGGCAACAACAAAATCGGTTTTTGTCAGCTTGGAAGAATAATAATTTAGACAAATTTGGGAGTAAAACAACAGCAGCTCTTCTAGGGACTTTAACTGGTGATTTATCCCCAGCTGTTGCTATTGCTGCTGGTTGGTAGCTTACATGTATTTTTAAATAAATTTTTACGGTAGAGAGGGATAATGGTCCTGCGACCTCATGGCCTTTATTGTTAGGCGCTTCGCTGAACACGTATAGGTGCTTTACCAACTGAGATATACTAGAGTGATGCTTTCACCTTATCTTTCAATATTTCACCTTTCTAAATCTCATTACATATTATTAAATTATGCCTTCACCTCTTTATTAACCTCCCTCCCTCCATAGTAAGCTAGATTTCCCTCCTTTCCTTAATAAGGAACTAAATGTTTTTTAAAACTGCCATTATACCGTCACTGCCCATTTCTTCAGTTATAATAAAGATAGCGACACTGCTTTACTTGAGTTCACCTTCACCTCAGTTCACCTTCAGCTTCACTTTCACCTTCACCTATCGACTAATACAGTTCTCTTGGGGATATTGGCTATATTGAAAGTGATAAAAGGAATGAGTAAAATTAACTCGAGTACAAAAAAGCCTAATGATGAGATTAATGATTAAAACGTTTAGAGGTTCTCTTGACTTTGTTCATTAACTAGGGATTTTTAGAGTAATTTTGGAGGGATTATAAACTGATAAACTTAAAATTTGATAAATAATTAATTTTTGATAACAATTTATTCCCAAAGGATTTTCCCCCGATTCAATAAACAACAACAACATTAAAAAATCATCAATCCACCAAAATTTAAATTTTACACATTCCTCCTCCTCAGCATTAATTAACCGAGCCCGTAAAGAATCTCTAGCAATAAATAAACGTCGAGGAAGTAATTTAATAATTCCGACAATAAATATTACAAAAGAAGGAAAATTGATGAGAAAAAGAAGTAAGAGGAATAATAACAATGATAATAATAATAATGAGGAAAAAATTATTTTTAATGATGTTGAGGAAGTTGAGGAATAAGATTTAAAAAATTTTTTTTGATGACATGAGTGACTTCAAAGTGACTCTCGATATTATTTAGGGATTAAAAAAAATTTTTTTCAGTCTATAATAAGGTTGTAGTATCCGGATCCGAATATCCAAAATTCCGGATCCCGATATCCGAATTTTTTCGTATCTGGAAATCCGAAGACCAACTATCCGAGAACCTTAGTTTATAACACTGCTTCGACGCCATCAAAAATCTCGTCCCTCGTACTTGGTACTTGGTACGAGGGACGAGAAAAAATCAGAGATGGTATTATGTAAGTACGAGAAGAGTGGTACGAGTAGGAATAAATCGTTAATTTCCAATATACTGATTAATTTCTTGATTTTTGTCCTTTTAATATTTAAAATTAATTAAATTTTATTAGGTGAGGACATAATTAGTGGCCGTTTTTTTATTTGGATTTTAAAATAAGTTTTTTGAAAATATTTTTTATTTTTATTATGAATCATTTGTTAATGTATTTTCTAAAAGATCCCTGCATTTAAGAATTTTTGGGTAGGTATTCAGGAAGTTTGATCGAAAATTGAGATAAATTCCAAAAAAATTTTTTTAATTTTTCTAATCTGATTAAAATTAATAAATTAATTATTTAAAAAATAAAAGAAATTTTTTTTTTTGACTTAAAAATTAATTTAAAAATAAATTAATTAAAAGTTCATTTAATTTAATTTGGGTAATCCATCAAATTTAAATTTAATTTTTATAAAAAATATTTTTTTTATCTTAAAATAAAAAAAATTTTTGAATTAAATTTTATTTAATAAAAAAAGAGGTCACGATTTTTTACTATAATTTTTAATTTGAAAAAATCAGGTTTTTAATTGATAAAATAAAAATTATAAAAAAGAGTTTAAAAAAAGATGATTTAAAAATTATTTTAAATTGAATTAATTTTCATTAAAAAATTAATTTTCATTAAATTAATTACGTAGGTTTTATTTTTATTTAATTCTGATATTTATTTTATAATTTATTCTGATTTTAATACATATAATTCTAATATAATTCTGATTGAACTATTTAAATAATTCTGGTTTTGATCTTTAATAATTCTGATTTTTATTTATCAGTTTTTAATTCTGATTTAATTAAATTCTGGTTTAATTAAATTCTTGTTTAATTAAATTCTTGTTTAACTAAATTCTGATTTGATTAAATTCTGGTTTAATTAAATTCTTGTTTAATTAAATTCTGATTTGATTAAATTCTGGTTTAATTAAATTTTGATTAATTAAATTATGATTTAATTAAATTCTTGTTTAACTAAATTCTGATTAATTAAATTCTGATTAATTAAATTCTATTTAATTAAATTCTGATTTAATTCAATTCTGATTTAATTCTTATCTTCTGATTTTTTTATTTCTGATTTTTATCCTTGTTTAAATAAAAATTTATGATTTTAATTCTGATTTAAAAATAATTTTCAGAATTAATTTAATACATAAGTCTTAAATAAAATGAATAAACTATTTTTGTCATTATTATTTACAATTGTAATTGTTACAATAATAAATGCACAAATGGACATGGCGGAAGAAGAAAAGGAGTAATTTTTATATTTTAATATTAAATTTTATTTTAATTCTAAAAATAACACAATTAGCCTAATTATTATTGTGTAACTCTCTTGGGGCTGAAAAATTCATCCCTTATAATGAGGAGTATATTAAATAGAAGGTATTAGTAGACAGCTGTTCCTCACTTCAATAGCTTTTTAAAAATTAATTATCGTGCCTTAAATAGAAGTATTATGGTGAGGGCCGACTGTATTCGATAGAGGTCCTACCGTATCCAAAAATAGTTTGATTTTTCAAGATAAGGATTTTTACTCAATTTTCTCTTATATTTTCTAATAATTTAAAATTTTATTTTTCAGTGCTCGTCTGAAACGTTGGGGCGGCATGGGCCCGTGGGGTGGCGGTATGGGCATGTATCGCCCATGGGGTGGAGGAATGTATAATATGTACCGGCCGTGGGGTGGTGGAATGGGCATGTATCGGCCATGGGGCATGGGATGGGGCAGACGTTAAAAATGAATGGAAAAATTAAAGAAATGAGGCTAATGATGATTTTAAAAAATAAAAAAATACATAGATGTGTGACTGATAATATTTTTATTAAAAATTTTATTATAATTAAAACGAATTTTTTGTCTAAAAGATAAACAATTATGGATTCTTAATTTTTCATGTTTGATATATTTAATTAATGATAAAGAAATTGAATGAAAAATTTAAATGAGAAAAGTTGAATGCTCGAGCATTCAATTTTCAATCAACTTCAAAGAATCTTGCTCTAATCTTCTAAAAGTCTCAAAAGTTTCACCCGATGCTTAAAAAATATGCAAATCCAGTAATATACCGTATTTCCTATATTAGAGCCCCATGGGGCTCTAATTTTCAACTATCCTCCAAGGTGGGGCTGTATTAAAGGGTGGGGCTCTAATTGAGGGTGGGGCTCTATTTTTCAACCCTCTTTTGAGATAGAATCCCATTTATTATATCCATTGCAACTAGAGATAAGTCGGAGGGTTTGGTCGATAAAGCCGCAAAATATCGAAAGAGAATCTATATTTTTCGATTTTTCAAGAAAAACCAAAACTTTTTAAGCAATGAATTACAAAATAGTCCCAATAGTTCAATGAGAGTAAGATTAATTATTAAATATGGGTAGATTTGGACGGATTAAAGGAAATATTATGGAACTTTTATTTGACATTGATGGATTAGAGGGATAAAAATGGATTTTAAGGGATTATGGGGAATATCAGAGGATTAAGTTTATATTGAGAGATTTAGAGGGATTATGAGGGATATTCTGGACTAGGGGTATTAGGAGGCATATGAAGGGATTTGTTTGATAAAGCTTTGGAACAGGTTCCAGAACTGGAACTGAAGAAATTCAAATAGCAGTTACGTAACTGAAATCGGTTCCAGAGAAATTTTGGTTAGATATCACTGATTAGATATCTAATAGATCTCTAATAATCTCGCGAATTATCATCAAGTGCCTAACACGATTGCAACCCTTTATAAAATGATTAGATTTTGGAGGTAATAGGAGGAATTTAGAGGAATATAGGCGATATTAGAGTATTTTGACGGATAACGGGATTAATCCCTCATTTTCATCCCTAATCCCCATGATCCCTCCTCCTCAATGATCACGAAATCATAGATATCCCCCTTTATTTCCTTAACTCTCTTAATACATACATCTTAAAAGTTATTCTGATATTTTTTCCTCCAATATTTTTTAGGTGGGGCTGTATTTGGGGTGGGGCTCTAATTGAGGGTGGGGCTCTATTTTTCAACTATCCTCCAAAGTGGGGCTGTATTAGAGGGTGGGGCTCTAACAAAGAGTGGGGCTCTAATATAGGAAATACGGTACTTCAAACCCTTTTTTCATCTGATATCCCCCCTCCTCCAGGGTTATTATTAATTTAACCTCTTGCTGGAGTGGATGGGTAATTAATCGAGATTCGGGCGTATACGGTGCGTTAAAAAGTACCATTTTATCACGCTTAGTACAGTAAGAGCGAGGTAAAAGTTTAATCCCGGGCAGGCTTCGATCCTGCGACCTCCTGGCAGTTATTGCTAGGCGCTTTCGCTCACCACGTACAGGTGCTCTACCAACTGAGCTACCGGGACGCTGCTTTCACCTTCTATTTTAATAGATCTTAAACCCCCGCAGTCAGCGTTTTAAATGCTAGCAAGCTGGATCTTTCTCTCTTTCTCTTCCTTACAGTACCATTTTATCATATCTCCAGCGAAATATGTCAAATATCGACAAAAATCACTTCGAAATCTCGAAGCATATACCCAATGGTAAACACTAATTAAACATTAAAAATATAATTTTTTGATAATTTAATAACCAAGACTACTATACAATTTTTAAATTACCTAAATTTTAATGATGAAAATTAGGTAACCTATTAGTAAACTAATTTAACGAAAACAGGAAAACAGGAAGATTTTTTGAAGAAATAGGAAATTTATTTTTTTATTTTTAATCACCAAATAGAAAACAACGACAATAATATATTTTTGGTTGTTTTTATTAAAAGTAAATTTTACAAAAAAGTAATAAATAAAACTAAAATTAATTTCCTTGGCAGTGATAGTTGGAGAAAGGCGCTACCATTATTCTTTTTAAATCTTGAAAGAAAATTTTCAGCAATTTGGTAAATAAAAATAAAAAATAAATATTAATGATCATGGGAATAGGTGGGTGGTCTGGTTGGAAGAAAAAATAAATATATAAATAGAACCAGAATATCAGAATTGTCATCAAAAATAAATTTAATTGTCTTACTTAATTAGAAATAAATATTAAATAATTCTTTATTCTGATTTTTAATAAAAATTCTGATTTTTAAAAAATAAATTCGGAAAATTAATTCTGAAAATAAATTTTGAAAATTAATTCTGAAAATAAATTTTGAAAATAAATTCTGAAAATAAATTCTGAAATAATTCTGAAAATAAATTCTGAAATAATTCTGAAAATAAATTCTGAAAATAAATTCTGAAGACAATATCTGAAAAAAAAATCTGAAAATAATTATGAAAATAATTCTGATTCAATTAAATTCCTAATATACATAATTATGCACTAATATTTTTATTCTGATTTGTAATCCGGGTTTTGTAATCCGGATTTTAAAATTCAATTCTGATTTTTGTTGAGGTATAATTCACAATTTATTTTAATTAAATCGGAATTTAATTTTCAGAATTACATCCCTTTTACCTAAATTACAATTTGTAATTCTGATTTTTACTTAAAATTAATTTTTTGTTCTGATTTTTTATTCTGATTTTTAATTAATTTTCAGAATTAATAATTGTATTAGTATTACAGTATATATTCAACGAAAAATAAAATGAACAAATTATTGCTTGTTTTGTTAATTACTTTTGTAATCGCAACAATAGCTATTCAATATGGAATGGCACAGGATGAAGAAGAATTTCAGTAAGTTTATTAAATTCTGAAAATGTTCGAAAATTCTGATTTTATATTTAAAATCAAAAGTTAAGTAAATTCTGATTTTCTCAAATTTTTTTTTTCGGAAATTCTCAAATTTATTTCCCGATTTCTGGATAATTTTGAATGATAATCTAATAAATTCTGATTCTAAAATTCTGATAAATTCTGAATTTTAGAATATACAAATTTTAAATTCGTTATATTTTCAGTGCCCGTATGAAGCGTCAATGGGGCTGGGGTGGACGCCCATGGGGCTGGGGTGGTGGATGGAGACGTCCATGGGGCTGGGGAGGATGGGGCGGCGGATGGAGACGCCCATGGGGATGGGGCGGAGGATGGGGAAGGCGCTAAACATGTGCTCCTAACGAAGAAATTTATGAAAAAATTTCAAAAAATTAAAAAACGTGATAAAAGTAATTATAATATATTTATTTTTGTATTTTCAAAATTATCAAAAAAATTTGCCTTAAATTGGCATAATAAATGAATAAATTTTGCAAGAATATATAATTTTTATTTAATTTTTTAATTAAATTTCGATTGAAATTGAGATTTTTTGTATCTCTTATTCAAATAATTTAAAGTCGATCTAGCCCTGAGTACTCAGATCGAATCAGATTGATCTCAACTTTTAGACCTTTAGGTTTCTTTGATTATGATTCACCTGCCTTCTTTTATTCATTTGCAATTTTAGATTTTATCTTAACAATAATTATACAATAGTTGTGTTTGGAGATAAATATTTTATTAAATTTTATCCTCTATAATTAGTATACGGCAAAACCCAAAATCCAGGATATTTCTGAAAAGGTCGAACGGATTGATAACTCCCGTTTATCGATGTCCCTCCCGTTCTTTCCCAGGCGCTACCTATAATATACATACATTATGAGAAGGAAACAATTATGAGAATGAAATAATTGGTATAGTTATTATACAGATACAATTAATCTTCAAAAATCACTTCATATTTTTAAAAATGTATTAAATTATTATTTTTACATCAAAAAAGAATTTTTAAAATTCCAATATATTAAATTCTTCAAATACTTTTAAATTAAAAAAATTTTAATTAGTAAACAATAAATATTTTTTTGTTTTTAAAAATAAATTTTAATTTAAGACAAACAAAAAAATAAAAATATTAAATTTAAAAAAGAGGTCGAAGTAGAAAAAATAAAAAATAAAGGTGATATAAAAAAGAATTTTTTTTAAATAAAATTTATTAAATAAAAAATTAAAATTAAAATAATAAATTTAAAATGAAACAAATTTTAATTTTTGTAATGTTTCTTATTTTTATTATGGCATTAATTGATGTTGGAATGACTGGGAAAAATGAACAGTACGCTTTAATTAATATTAACTCTGATAATTAATTAATTCTATTTCAATTATAAAATAATTCTGATATTGTATTCTGATTAATAATTCTGATTAATAATAATTCTGATTATTAATAATTCAGATAAATATTTCTGATTTTATTTAATGAGTTTTTATAATAAATAAGAAAATCAGAATTATTCTGATATAATAATCAGAAAATCATAATTGAATCAGAATTATTAATTCTGATTTAGTTAAATCAGAATTAAATCAGAATTATTAATTCTGATTTAATTAAATATCAGAAAGTATTTAGTATCGGAATTATTAATTATGTTATCGATAATTCTGATTATCAGAATATATTTATTTTTGAATAATTAATTCTGATTGACTTCTGGATAATAAATAATAGAATTATTAATTCTGATTTAATAAGTTTTATGCTAATTCTGGTATTAATTATTCTGTAATAAATATCAGAATTAATTAATTCTGAAATAAATTCTGAATTAATTCTGATTTATTAATTCTGATTTCAGAATTATTAAAATAAATACATATTTAATTAATTCTGAAATTTATTTCTTTAGAATCATTAAGCGACAGTACTATCAACAATATCCGATGGCAGGAATGGGAGGTGGTTATTATGGCAAATAATGAAGCAAATACATGTTTCAAAATAAAATTTTTCTGTGATTTTAATGAATTTAAAAATAAAATATATTAGATTTAAATTTTTCCTAAATTTTTATAAATATTTTTAAATTTTAATTGGCAAAAAACAGGGTTATTTGGTCAAATACACATCCTTATAAATTTTAAAAAATAATTTTTTTTGCAAGTTTGATTTCTAATTAAAGATCTGTCTCGACACCTCCCTGTCTTGGCAGAAGCATTAACATAAGACCTTGAAAGTAACCCCTGAAGACCCTGAAAAGATTAAAGTAAGACCTTAAAACCATTCCAGAAAATAGTAAAGGACTGGATAGGATTTAATATTGAGAGTTCTTCGATATAGTTAGATCCCTCAACTCGATCAACTGATTGTCTTCATTTTTGTTTTAGTTACTAGTCGGGAGAAAAAACAATAATTTAATTAATTAATAATTTAATAAACAAGAATACTGCACAATTTTTAAAATAAAAAAGGGTGGATAATTTATGAAATTAGGTAACAAAATTATTAAAATAATTTAACGAAGACAAGAAAACAGGAAGATTTTTGGGGGAAAAAATTAATTTTTAGAAAATTTTTATCATCAAATTTCATCAAAAATAATTTCAATCTGCTTACTAATTTGTTAATAAATTTTAAGATTCAAGTGTATTTTTGGTTGTTTTTATTAAAAAATTTTTACAGAAATTTTTTCAGTGATAGTTGTAGAAAGGCTGTCAATATTTTTTTTAAATATTAAAAAGAAAATTATAGCAATTTAGTAAATAAAAATAAAAAATATATACTATTAATTATCATAAGAATAGGTAGGTGGTTTAGAATCAAAAAATAGAATCAGAAATATATAAATAGAACCAGAATATCAGAAATTTCATCAAAAATAATTCAATTTTCAGAATTATATACCTAATAAAATTAGAATTTGTAACTCCGATATAAACAAAATATACTACAAAAAATGAATAAATTATTCCTTTTTCTGCTAATTACTCTTGTAATTGCAACAATAAATATTCAATATGGAATGGCACAAAATGAAGAAGAATTTCAGTATGTTTTTTATTTTAGCATAAGTCCACATATCCTCTTCGGTTCTTCAACTATTCGGAACCTATAACTCGGTCCCCAATAATCTCCAAAGTAGATAAACTCGTCGAGGCGAATCAAATTACGTTTGTTTTGACCAAACGTATATTATAAGTCTCTGCAGATTAAAATACTAAATTCTGTCCTTTCAGCATCCGTCAAAAACGTCAATTTTGCGGCTGGCCCTGGTGTGGAGGCCCATGGTGCTGGTGCGGACCATGGTTTGGCAGAAGGCGTCGGCCATTAGGATAGAGTGGAGGATAGAGACGCCCATGATGGAGAACACAAGAAACAAATCCTCTCAATATGGATGGGGCTATTAACAAAAAATTGATGAAAAGAAATTATAAAAAAATCAAAATTGTGATAAAATTAATAATTTTTTAAATTTTTTTAATAATATTTTTTTAAAAATATATTTTTTTCGAAATAATAAAAATTTTTCTTATTATGAAAAAAAAATTTTGCAATATAATTTTTAATTTATAATATAGATTTCTATTATTAAATAAACAGATAATGTCAATTGTGTGTGAATAATAAAAATCTAAATTTTGTTTTGATTGGCCCATAGCAATTCAATTATAAGAAACTTCTTCAAATTTTGGTTCACCAATTTGTGACCAAGTTTCCTTTGAAGTAATTGAAATTTGCGCAGCCGTATCACTCTAGGTGAAAATTTACGCTTACCAGCGAAATAACAAATTGCAATCCAATGCCCTTCTTTTTTACAATAATTACAATATGGCCTTTTTGGTGGAGAACAATAGCAATTCTTGTTTGGAATTTCAATACTTGGTTTTTGCAATTTAGGTTTCTGAATAATATTTATTTCATGTGGTAAACTTAATTCAATTTTACTGACCTGTTTAGGTTCAGATAACATTTTGACTTCTTTTTTGTAAAAAATAATTTTTTTTGCAAGTTTGATTTCTAATTAAAGTTCTGTCTCGACACCTCCCTGTCTTGGCAGAAGCATTAACGTAAGACCTTGAAAATAAACCCTAAAGACCCTGAAAACATTAAAGTAAAACCCTAAAACCATTCCAGAAAATAGTAAAGGACTGGATAGGATTTAATATTGAGAGTTCTCCGATGTAGGTAGATCCCTCAACTCGATCAACTGATCGTCTTCATTTTTGTTTTAGTTACTAGGTGGGAGGAAATTTTACCGGCCTTACAGTAATTTAATTAATTAATAATTTAATAAACAAGAAGACTAAACACTTTTTAAAATAAAAAAGGGTGGATAATTTATGAAATTAGGTAACAAAATTAGTAAAATAATTTAACGAAGACAAGAAAACAGGAAGATTTTTGGGGAAAAAATTAATTTTTAAAAAATATTTTACCCTCCGATTTCATCAAAAATAATTTCAATCTGCTTACTAATTTTTAATAAATTTTAAGATTCAAGTGTATTTTTGGTTTTTATTAAAAAAATTTTTACAGAAATTTTTTTTCCAGTGATAGTTAGAGAAAGGCTGTCAATATTTTTTTAATTATTAAAAAGAAAATTATAGCAATTTAGTAAATAAAAATAAAAAATATATATTAATTATCATAAGAATAGGTAGGTGGTCCAGTTGGAAGAAAAAATAAATATATAAATAGAACCAGAATATCAGAAATTTCATCAAAAATAATTCAATTTTCAGAATTATATACCTTCTAAAATTAGAATTTGTAATTCCGATATAAACAAAATATAATACAAAAAATGAATAAATTATTCCTTGTTCTGCTAATTACTCTTGTAATTGCAACAATAGCTATTCAATATGGAATGGCACAGGATGAAGAAGAATTTCAGTACGTTTCTTATTTTAATACTTGATTATAAAGATCCTCATATACCCTACGGTTTTCAACTATTCGGAACCTATAACTCGGTCCCCAATAATCCGCAAAGAAGATTAAATCTACGAGGCGAATACAAGTCTCTGCAGATTAAAATACTAAATTCTGTCCTTTCAGCATCCGTCAGAAACGTCAATTTTGCGGCTGGCCCTGGTGTGGAAGCCCATGGTGCTGGTGTGGACCATGGGGTGGCAGAAGGCGTCGGCCATCAGGGTAGAATGGAGTATGGAGATGCCCATGATGGAGAACACAAGAAGCACATCCTATTAATAATCGGGGATTTTAACATAAAAATTGAAGAAAAAATTTAAAAAATTCAAAATTGTGATAAAATTAAATAATATATATATTTTATATTTGTATTTTCGAAATAATAATTTTGGCAGTATATGAAAGTAAGGGCGGCATCCAATTTTTTCCATAATCCTAAAAATATTTATTTTTCTTATATTTTTCTCTCTATTTTTGATTTGTGACGTAAGGCTTTAGAAGCAAAAGATTATTTTTCTTATAAATTGTGTG